CCAGGATGGTCTGAAACTTGCTGAGTAGCTGAGGATAATCCTGAAATCCTGATCCTCTTACCCCCACCTCCAAGTGCCAGGATTATAGATGTGCACCATGGTCTTTGGGGGTTTTTTATGTGCATGAACGTTTTGCCTACATGCACGTAAGTGCACATGTGCATTGCAGTGCCTGCAGAGGCCAGAACAGTGATTGAATCCCTGAGCCTAGAATTACAAACAGTTGTTAACTGCCATGTGGGTGCTGGGAACCAAACCCCAGTCCTCTGCAAGAGCAATAAGTACTCTTAACTCCTGAGCCTCATCTCTGATTCCCCACCTTTAGGTTTTCATTTTTTTTTTACTAAAATTTATGAGTGAAACCTGTTTCACCAGTACAACTAGGAGCAATATATATACATGCTGAAAAAAAATTGCTTAACCCAATGATGCTGGGAAAGTAAAGACATACTCATTACGATAGATAAATGATGAAGCTAAGCTTGGGGATTTAACTCTTTTCCTCTAGTTAGTATGTCTATATTCTCATTTAAAATAGGCACATGACATCTTGACCAGGCCACTGAGGAACAGCCACTTTGATTCTGGGATATTGTGATATAACTTAGGCAAGGTGAGCATTCCACCACTGAACTGTATCTCCAGCCCTGTGATACAACAGATAGAAATAAATATTCAGTTGTTCTTAATATGAAGTAAGGTGCAGAACCACCACCTTTGTTGGCTTCCACTTCCTATGGTAGGAATCAAAAGACAATAAGGTTCAGAGTGGGGTGGAAAATGGTATGGGATTTAGATGCTACATTGCAAACAAAGCACACTCAGCCTTATGACATATTTCTATGTGGCAAATCATCTCTGAATAGGCCACTGAAAGAAATGGTTAATTTGTATTCTAGTCAGTCACTTATACCGACAATTCAGTTTTCAGGAAAAAGTAAGAATTTCAACAGCAGCACTATTTGTGCGTGTATGTATGTATGTATGCATGTATGTGTATTCACATATATGTGAATATGAGTGGAGAAGTTGATGTTTTGAGACAGCATCTCTCACTGAACTTGGAGCTCACTGATTTAGTTAGATTGGATGACCACTAAGCTTGAGGCCCCCACCCCCAGCACAGGGAAGACAGACCTGTGGGTGTTGGAGACACAGACTCAGGTTCTCATGCTGGCATGGCAGGGCACATTACCAACTGAACCATTCTCCCCTCCTCCAGCCCTGGTCCTATTTTTTTGATAGTTTATTTATTATTTTTATTTTATGTGTATGAGTATATTGCCTGCATGTTTGTAACTGCACTCAT